CTCACGCGCGCGCGCGCGCGCGCGCGCGCGCGCGCGCGTATATATATATATATATATATATATATATATATATATATATATATATATATATATATATATATATATATATATATATATATATATATATATATATATATAATCGAGCTCGAGCTCGAGCTCGAGCTAGCAAGCTTAATTTGCTTATCGTTTATGTTAAAGAATCAAGCTCAAATGAGCTATTAACCATCAAATTTGAATCGAGTACAAAGTAGTATGGTTTGATTTTCAGACCTACGTCAGATAATTGATATATAGTATCAAGAAAAGGCAAAATCAATATCTATACAACTTTAAGAAAAGGAGATCACTTAAAGTCAAGAAAACTGCTCATTCATTCTTTGGTGGTATATATATATATAGTCTACATGGGATATAAATTAATTCCTCGTGAAGAGAATAAGAACAAGGTTTTTTAACTTTTAAGAATTAAATATGTAATTAACATCATTAAAAAATTCAAATTTATTATATTCCAAGGAGAGAAAAGAAAAGAAAAAGTGTATGTGTGTGTATATATATATATATAAGAGTGTGTGGAATTGCTTTCTATTGTACTAATTTTGGCTTTTTCATTGTGTTTCCATGTCTTTTTTCTTAGTACCCCATATCTCAGGTGAAAATCTTCCAAAAAAATTAAATAAAATATATATTAAAATAAATAAAAGGAAAAGCAAAAGCTCCCACAAGAACCCTTTAATTTTATTCTTAAAAAATAAAGTGAAAAAATGGTGGCCGTGAGTTCTGCAGTTCTGAGTTTCAGGTACCATGCAAAAAGAAAAGGCACTAAATAATAAAAAAAAAAAAAAAAAAAGAATTAATTATTATTATTATTCCCAAATCACATGATATATCAATATCTAGCTAGTACGTGGGCATTCTATATATATTTATCTACATATATACATATACTTTTCATACATATATATATATATATATATATATATATGTGTGTGTACGTGTGTGTATGTATGCACGTGTGTGTGTGTGTGTTTTTATTTACCTTGAAGAGTTGCTCCACAAAGTAGGAGTGGTGGAAGGGTTAATTAGATGATGATGATCAGGTTGTTGTTGAAAAGATCCGACGACAGAAGAATTATTATTATTATTATTATTATGATCCATGAATTGCCTCAACCCGACCCGTTCACCGACACTACTACTCCCTATGTCGACAAATCGTCTTCGCCCGACCCGTCTGAATGCCCTTCAATTCATTCATCATC